CAAGCATCGTCTATTGGTTCTCTGTGTAATTACAGCTGATCTGGCAGTAACAGAGTAGCAACCGTGGGCGGTCAATCAAGCTCAAGCTCAAGCTCAAGCGTAACAAAACATTCATCTTGTAGACATTCTAAAGTGAATCATGGTGAGATAAAAGTGGACTGTTTATAAAAACACAATTAAGCCTAAATTATTTGAAAAATTCTTATAAAACACATGTTGATAATTAAAAAAAAAACGAACTTTTCTTCATAGTTATGAGCTTTTAGAAGAAGTTTCTTAGAAAATATGGACTAAATTATCACTAGAAATAATAGGTCCAAACATGATTCATTTTTGGATAGGTTCAACCAAAATGCATTACCCTAATCTGTTTGAAGGGACCGGGAAAACCAGAGAAAAAATGGTCTCATATCAAGATATGGAACATCGAGACTTTGAGAGTTCTTCTTCCTGGTTTTTGATACTTCTAAAGTGAGTGTTCTTGGAATGTTTCCATAGTTTATATTCGACAGCTCTCCGTGGCAACCAAGGTTTGCATTTTTATATTATGTGGTAATGATACTCTATGCCCCGGCAAGTCGAGAAAATTTCCAGTCAAAACATTCGAACCCGCTGCCTCTGGCTTGGTAATACCATGCCTTATCTGAACAAGATTATCCGAGGCCCCTAATATTAATATTTTAGTTGACTTAAATCTGATATTTTTTTTCCATAATTAAAAAAAAAACTATACATAATTGTTGATCACATTTTGTAAGCATCAGTTTTAATTTTCATTTTGATCTGCCAGTGTCTCACCATGCACTAGTGCAATCACTCACACCCGTAGGCGACAGATAAATTCAGCGTCATCTTAGCGCTTCTCACTGGATTCGATGTTGGTTGCCTTGGTAGGTATAGGTAGGTACCAAAAGCGTAAAATATTAGTCCGTATCTCGCTCCCCCTGACAACGAATGTTGAGAGTAAATATTTTCCACCTCACTAGTGCCGTCTCGAGCAGAGGAGCTATGGGCGCTGCTAGGCTAGGGCTGCTTCACGTTGATTGTGTTGCTGAGAAATTTATGGATGCAAAAAGCTTTATACACTTTTACCCAACAGGAAGGATGCTTCTTTTTCTACTTGTTCTTATCTTACTTTGAACTTTTTTTCCCCTACAAAGTTTCAGTCGCTTCATATGGACCAGGAACAGTTGACGAGATGTGATGTGTATGCAGTTTGGCCGGGTACTCAAGGACTCTGAAGACTCTTGGCTTGCCACCCGTCTGCTCGGATCTCTTTCGTCCTTTAATATATGTATACAGCGAGCCGCTAGCATTCAGCCTGGTTGGTCTCTGTGTCAAGTTTTAACCATATTAAAGCAGAGACGAGCTGTGCGGGAGGATAATTTTTTATTCATTTAGGGAAATTTATGATATTACCTGGGAGAGATGGTTTCTCTTCCTTCGTTCAAGGAAATATTAATCAAAGCAATTGCCTCGGCACGAACATGGCAGGTGAAGTTCTTTCCTGATTCGAATCATGTTGGGAATCTGGGAATCTGGGAATCTCTCTTCCTAGAATATCCTATAAATAACTTCGAATGATAAATGTTGGGAAAATCCGATTTAGTTTATCGCCACAAAGAAAGCTTTTTCGACTGAAATACGAGTCGTTTCTTGGTTTCGGTTGTGATAAAGCTTCGCCAAGAAAATAACCTGGCTTCCAATCATGACTGGCACATGTTCAACCGAATGTATAAAAGAAGAATAATTAATCCTTTTCTCATCACACGGCCGAAGGAGTATATGAGGCAGAACAAAAAATTTAGGCTGTTAGTGATGCGTAGGTTTACTTTTTGCAGCTTTCTCAGAAACAGCCCAACAAGAAAAGCTCGAAGATTGATTTGCTGCCGAACGAAAACCGGAAGCGAGGGAAAAACAATCAAGGACTGTTTTCTGTTTTTCCTTCCGTCTGCTGTGTATCTCCTGAAGGCGACGATGATTGAGTGTAGAAATGATCAAATAAATTCAATCAGGGAATAGTTGTTCTTGGCTCTGCATCTGGCTTTATTTCTTTGTTTTTGTTATTAGCATTTGTGACGAAAACGCAAGGATACGAAAATAGCCCAGGAAGTCAGAAGGACAGGACACAGTTGAATGCCCGGTTGATGGTGATTAAATAGACGATTCCATTATTCAATTGAGCTAACATTTTCGGCTTGTATTTTTAACCATTCAGTTGTAATTACAGGGGTTGTACTTGGAAAAATTCTCCATTCTGAGTGAAGTTAGGTTACGTTTTCTTTTTTAGGGAGGCGTTCACCTCTGATTCTGGCTGAAGTACTACTTGTTCAATTTGATTTTCAAACAAGTTGTCTTTTAACTGTTCTTACTCTTCCATTAGTCATGGAACAAATTTCAAATACGAGACTTACAAATAAGAACTCCAATATCGCTAGAAAAGAAACATATCTAGAAAAGAAGCGAATTATAGATATCAGTTCGTATTGATTAAATATCGATGATAGCCTGAGCCAAGTGCTGGTTATAATGTTTAAGTTTTTTTTGATTTTGTCGCTAAAAAGACCTTGGTGAAAGGTCTAAGCATTTATAAAGTGATACGGAACATCACAATGGAATCAGGATTCATGTAATACCTATTTGGATTGATGAGAGGGCGCGTATTTTGAAAGGTCTCAAAACGCTTTGACTGATGTGGAACATCACAAATGAATGAAGCTTCTTGTGAGAAGAGCAAGTATGTATGATTTACTGTATCAAACACGAATACCTCATTACTTTTCGATAGTAATGAGGTACTACGACATGTACTAAAAACAAAGGACGCGGATATATCACAAAAGATCAATGTATTGGTCACAGTGATTATGACCCTAACAAAGGGAAAAAAATGTGTCAAACAAATGCTTTGCAACCTCTTCTTGTGGCTTACAAATTCAAAATATGATCATAACATCTAATGATTTCATAATTCTCAAAATGAGAATTAGCAACCTTGACTCCAGCCCCAATTCACATTCAAATTTATTTTAGTTTTTGCCTGTTTAGCACATTTTTTTCCTCACCTGTTTAGTACATTTAATTTAGTTCATGTGACTACCTTGAGCCACACTATGTTTATCCATGAATTTAGCTAACCAGATTCTCCCTTCACAATTCCATAAGTACACATTTTTCATGCAAACCCATATCATTAGGCGTCGCGTGTTCGGAACTTTCCAAGTTCCACGACTCAATATAATTCTCAAGCCAAGCCTTGTTTCCTTGTATCAAGCATCATGTAAGCCTCTTTAAAACTCCCCCCAGGGTTTTTGGAACGTCCATCGAATGCGATAGAAAACAAAACCGAAATCCATGGAGGCAACTAACTTTTCCTCGGTATCACATATCGATACATCAACTACTTGACATGGGGTGGACGATGGACGGAGGAGCTTGTGAAAAACACGGTGGGAAACAAACTTCCGACAAATGTCCCAGTTGCGTGTTTCTAAAAGCGATGTCGAGCAATGTGCTGCGGTGGGTGCATGTGTCCAGCAGAGTTATGGGCACCTCTATTCAAGTTAAACTGGATAATCCACATCCATCCCCATTGGAAAACACATGCTTTATAGCCTCTCAGAGATAGGAGGGACGATAAAATATATATTGTTTCTGGAAAAGCTCTGGCATGCAGCATTTTCTGCCTGGTGTATGGGTGTGTACAAACCAATATAGCTAAATAATTGCATCCCCAGGAACTTATTGCACTTAAAACCTAATGCACTTCACTTAGGGTGTTATATTGCAGGCAGTGATGTATCAATTCTATCAACAGCAAGTATTTGGAAGGATTTTCAGAGAACTAACTTCAAACCTGGTGGGATGCAAAGAAATCTAAAATCGAAACATGACTGTATTCCCATATGCAACATGCAAACCTGTTACGAGTGGTTTGCAGCCAACTGCCAAAAGCCAGGAAGCTGACTCCCGTCGTCAGATGTGCCTGTTCCTAACCCGTAGAATCAAAATTAGGATCGGTAGGTGAAGAGGCTGAAGCAATTTCGCCAATCAGCGCGTGCTTGTTATCACGGTAGGTGAAATCGACTCAATTTACCGGAGAATCTGTTGCAAGCGCTTCTATCTTATCGAAAACGATTTGCGATTCCGGTGCTTTTGGTCTCCGTCAGCCTGTCTACCTACTGGAAACCGTCAAGCTGCGGGAGCTTCATCTTGAAGGAAGAGTTCCGTCGTTGTTGTTGTGCAATTGGTAAGGTTGTGATGGGAACATGAAATCGAATTACGTTCAGCAAATTTACCAAACAACTCTTCAACACTGAAGTCGTGTGAAGCGCCGGTAGGCAGAGTTTCGGAACGCGAATCAATCACGACGGGGTGTGTGTGGAAAATAAGCGATTGGAACCCGTCAGGGAAGAATAGAGACAAGGGTTAAGGGTAAAGGGAAGAGAAGACTCGGTTGATTGGCAATTGCAAACCATGAAGAATTAGGGTTTCTGCACACGAGAGAACATTTTTATTATTTTGACTCAGAGATAAAATCCGACACGAAATGTGCTCAACAATACGACTGTTTATGGGAACATGCATAAATGCATAAGTGACGCAGTATTTGAAGGGGGGGTTGTATTTCAGGAGCTAGAACCGGTCATGCATAAAACATGGCAAACTACGCTACGAGGGGGTGTCTACAGTTGGTCAATAATGTGCTACGTCATTATTGGATGTTCCCTATGATGTGATTATTTGATCACATGCCATTCAATAACGATTTTATCGTCTCGCTTAGGAAATACCAATGATGATGTTGTGATGGAGAGTGCTTGTTTGGAATAGGAAATGGTACGATATTAAGTTCTTAAAAATGCCTTCAACCAAAACGGCTCCTCCTAATCTCATTGATCGTAAATGTTTGTGTGAATTCATCATCCTACCGTTCAGTTTTCAGCAGAACATGGCTCCCATAATAGACATCTATTAACAGTCCATAATATTTTACTCACCGGTTTCAGTACTTTGGTGATGAAATACGTCTTCAGACCCGCTATCCGCAGCGCTTCCTCGCGCTTTTCACCGAACGCTGGTTCCACCTCGAATTCCCCATTCAGGAAGCTCAACGTTTTTTCCGACAGATGGACTCGGCTGTTTGATGGCCAAATTTAGGTGAGGGTGTAGGCGTGAAGTAGGGTGGTTTCGGTTTTAGTTCCCACATCGTCACCCGAAATGTGTGCGTGGGATCATAAATGGTTTTCCGTCGACACGTGTGTGGTGATTCGCCCGTTGATTTGGGTGGGATTTATGAAATGGGATGGAAAAAAAAAGCAAATCATCATTTTTTTCATATTTGGTATAGAAAAAAGGCTAATATGAGTTAATTTCAAATAAGAATTCTATTTAGTCACCTCCTTTCATAGGTTTTACACATAATTTACGAAAAACTCATGTTGATCTGGGTGCTAGGACTCCCTTTGTAGTGATTGAATTTGATAGTCGAACAGGGGAACAAGTGATGACTGTGAATTGCAACGTTGAGGAAATTTACTGGAACTATAACCACTGGTTCTGGTATTGAATTTCAAATTCCGATGTCTTCCAGTCTTCTTGTTTTTGCTGAATATCGGTTTTTACTGCCAAGATTCGTACAGTCGAGTGCTCGACAGTGATCGCGACACATAATGAACGATTGCTGATAATCTCAGTTTGGAACAAATGACAGCTGGTGTGTTTTGCTGAAAATCATGGCATAATTTTTCTAAGTGTGTAATCAGAAGTGTCACTTTTCATATACCTCTGGTTTATTCACGAAAGGTTAGTTTCTAAGAGGAAGAGGAGACAACTGCCTTCTTTTTGTCTGTGACGACCGTGCAAAAACTATTTCGTTATGAGCGACGCAGTCGACTATCAAAATACAAGAAAATAGATTCCCTGTTCTCGTGTTTCTATATATTCACCCTACCAATCAGATGCTGGTTCGCGTTTGACAGAAAATTGGTTAAAAAAAGGCCACCTATTGTCTCTTCTTCCTCTTAGGTTAATTAGGGTGCTTATATTTTACATTGTTAAATTGGTTGGATTTAAAATATTACATCCGGGGAAATTTGAATTATTCTCTGAAAAGCGAAAATCAAGACTATTTTAAAACCAACCGATTTAGGAATGTGATGCTTCGTTTAAAAAAAAAGGTGTCAGATTTCTTTTAGGCCACTCTCCAGTTTGATTCATAACTCCAAAATATAAGTCTGTGCAAAAAATGGTAAAGATTTATAGGGGTTTAGATTGGGGATGTGGATTGTTCAATAATATTGTGGATTCAATCCCATATTTTGGATTCTATGGATCAATTTCATTAGTTTATATTTCATTGTTGAACATTCTATGGATCATTCCCAATATGTTTATGAGTACAATTTCAATTTCAATACGCATTCCTATAAAAATTTAGCGGTACATTTTTAAAATTGTGTTGCTAAATTTTACATAAAATATGGATCATAGTGATATTTTTGATGCATCATTCTCACTTTTTTAGGGATTTTCACCGGGGTTTTAAATTATCATTTAGGTGTTTTTTAATGAATATTTTTCAATTTTTTATGGGTTGTTTCAGCAATTTCAGAGGTGCATACTTAGGGCTGCCACTAAGATCAAATGATTACATAATAACTACACACTTAGAAATACCTAATCTTACACGTGACGGAATCCATCTTTGACATAAAGGATGAGACGAAAAACAAACATGTCATGTAAAATTAAGTGCTCCGAGACTGAAAAGTTCAAAAGTACGTTTGATTGAGCTGAATTTCGTGTCTATTATGACTCAATTTTATTTCAAAATTGACGCTCGTATATGTCAGTCTCATAGCATCTAAATTTACATCAATTTTTCTAAGTATGTATTCTATATGGCCAAGGTTATAATATCATAATAGCTTAAGGTATTCCATATTAAAATTATTAACAAAATGCTACTTTACCATTGATGGAATCACCTCGGATATCACACAATATCAACATTGGAATCGAAAAAAAAAATCACGACAGTAATGACCCGATTTTATCAGCCTCTCTGCGCATCAAATATTTTTAATTTCACATGTCCGTAATTAGAAATCTGTCAAATTCATCTTCAAATATTATGTAATATTTTCGAAAAGGGGGCTGAAAAAAATCACGGCACATAAAATGTATTTATAATGACTACAAATGATCATCATTTAAAAATGTTTGGTTCATCGTGTCCCAAAAAAATTTAGTTTATTGAAAAGAAAGCATTTTTCTACAATAGCTCTAACTTCTTACACACTCAACCAAATAAATCCAATACTTCACCGATAATAGATACATATTTGATGAACCAGTAGCTAAGAAATCAGAAATCTATCTTTTTAAATTGTGCTTGTACAGCTGATTTCCTTAAATATCAGCAAATCCACGTAAAAAAGAACTAACGGAAAAAAATTGCTCTGATTTAACTCAAACGTTGTGCATTTGCTACTTATTAAAAAAATATACCCGTATTTTATTACTTCGCCATGCATCTTCGTGAGTTAGAGTGGGTCAAAAAATTGTTATTTTCGATAACACATCGAAATTTAAAAATTCATAATTTTTCAAATACGGGGTCGATTTTCGATCTTTTTTCAGCAAACTAAAGGTTTTAAATTGCGCTGTCTCAATAACACACATCATGACTTTTCTAACATAGCTGAAAGATATGGGTACTACTTTCATATTAAAAATACCGATTGTGCCCTTAGTCAATTTTAATTATTAAAAACACATGATTATTCACTTACTTTGACTCAATGGAGACGCATTGTACTTTAAATTAATAAACATGAGACCCCGATGTGGCATGATGATTTAAAAAAAAAATTCCTCAAAAAACGAAATGAGCTTGAGCTTTGAGTGTGTTGGTTTATTTCCTATAAATTCCGTTGTAGTTGCTTATCTTTTGGCAGATACACGTATTTCGTCTACTACTTGCAGATTTCATCAGTGCCAAGTACCACTTGTGGTGTTGAGTACTTGGCATTGATGAAGTCTGCAAGTAGTAGCCGAAATTTGCGTATCTGTCAAAAATTAAGCAATTATAACGGAATTTAAAGGAAATAAAACAACACAATCAAAGCTCTTCATAAAGGTATTCCGTTAAGAGGTTCGACAAATTTTAAAGATTGAAATGAGCTTTCCAATAAAAATATAAAAAGGGGGTCTTTTTGGTCGCAACATTGCGAAATCCTAAAAAAAAAAAAAAAAACAATTTTACTTCATGTGTTGGTACATTTAAATTTATTTATCCACCCCTTTCTGGTTTTTTTGTAGATAGCGCAATTTAGTTTGCTGAATAAAGATCGACAATCGGCCCAGTAGTTAAAAAGTTATGAATTATTAAGTTGGCCGTATAGTCGAAAATTACAATTTTTCGACCCACTCTAACTCACGAAGGTTCACCCTAATGGCGAAATGAAAAAAACACGGGTACAATGTTTTTTAATAAGGAATAAATGCATGTTTTTTTTTACGTGGAATTGTTGTATAAGGACAGCTGTACGGGCAATTCTTTGCCATACTGTAGGTTAAGGCAATACGGTCGTCATAAGTGTTGGGTTGCTCTGTCACTTTGAATTTTAAGGTTCTACAAAGGGTCATTATTTTGTTTACTTCTTCTTTTTGAAACATTCTTCGATCATCATTTTCTAAATGTATTGGTAAAATTCGTTGGAAGTGCATGTCCCCACGCCAAGACTGCCCATTTTTCATAAATATCAACTGGTCTGGTGAGGAAAACTTAACCATCTCTTTTCTTCCTTCATTTCAATACAACAGCAAATGTGATGTCACACTATCTAGTGGATAAGAATGTAGCAGACAAAACATAAGCACTGCCAGACTGCGCTGTATGCAAGTTTGTTTACACCCCTGAGCGGGAAAGTGTATAACAGGCTACGTGCACTGCTGCCATCAACCCTGTTAGTGTTGAATTCAATCTTCTGTGACTTTTTAATTGGACCGGTAAAATGTATAAAATGGTCATTTATGTTTTATTTAATCAGTTTTTGATATTTATCCACCATTAAATACATTCACTCTTCTATGTTAATAAGGCAGACTTCGTCATTAATTGTTTTAATAAACTTAAATTCATTGCTAGAGGCAATACATCTGGCACCGCTGTTTCAATGATACTTTCACGATTGCTAGCAAAGCAGTAAAGTAGAAATGGTTTTCTTTGTGATGAATTTTGTTCACCAAGAGTTTTGTGAAGCAGTTGTTTTGAGTTTCTTGTATTCGATTGCGTTTAATTGTGCTATACTTCGAAGAACACAAGTAAGTAAATACAGTGAATGTGTTTTACCCAGGAAATTTTCGATCTATGATCACGAAATACATGTTTTAAATTTTCGTATTCATAATATATGAATGTATGTGTAAACTAATGATGATGATTTTATGATATTTAAAAAAGAAGAAAAACAGAACATTACTTACCCTTTGTAGAACCTTAAATAGCACAAATCTTCAAAACTTCAATACCAATAAAGACCGTTCCAATAATTATAAATAAAACGATGAACCGTGTTTCAAACTGCGTGAAATATTTCACAAAATTCTGGCTGCATCCTGATGTTTACATCCTACTGTAACACGTGTTGTCAGTTCTTTTTTTTAATATTTTGCGAGGAAATGTGAAAATACGTGGCCTTTCTCCTGAACAAAAAGAAAACGGATTGTGCACAAATGGTGTACTGTGTGTGGAGAAAACTGGCTAAGGAGGAGAGTGTGAGCGTTGGAGCAGCACAAACCGCATTACGTTTGAAGAATCATGCACTTTCAAAGATTCTCCGAGGCGTGGAAGAAAACCTGGCCCCGTTGACCCTGCAATCGACCGGAAGACGTTTTAAGCAGCATCCAGCAGCATAAGTGCGAGATGTGGCGAAGAAGATCGGTACTTCGGCAACAAATGTCATGCGGGCCAGGAAAAGATTAGGATTGAAAACCCATCGGAAGCACAAGCAACCAAAACGAAACAACAAGCAGGCTGCATTTGAAAAGACGAGAGCTCGGAAGCTGTACTACTCAATGCTGGGGACAAAATCGGGTTGTACTATAATGGATGATGAGACATACGTGAAACT